CTGACACTTGAGAGCCCTGGACGGGAATGTGGCTCAGTCGCTTTAGAAGGCCCTGAATAAAAGGGTATTCCACTTTCTGCATAACTTTACATAATTAATAGTTTTCCATGCAAACTATTGTTTGCCTTAATTGTTGTTTCAACAGCTGTTTTCATTAAATTGTAAAGCCCGCTGTGTCTAATCCTTTGAGCACCACTATTGATAACAAGAACTGCTCTGAAGCTTGCTCTGGAGGAAGAGTTAGCTCCCTGCCAAGCTGGAAAACCGTCATGAAGTTACTTGAAAAATAAGGCCTACAGTGGGACTGGTTGTGTAGCTAATCCATTAGGCTTTTCAAAAGAGCCATGCTCTGTACCCTTATGGCTAAATTGACCCAACAACCAATCAATGCCTTTATTTGCTGCGTGGCTGCCCCGAAGGGTCTTCTAGCTGGGTCCAAGTCGCAATCAAAGCCTCCATCAGTACTGGGTCCCTGATGACATAAATGGCCAAACTTTCAACGCGGCTGGCTCGAGTCCAGTCACACCATTTTGAAGATACAAAGAGGCTGTGTTGCACGGTGGAATTCATTTTCTTGTTTACTTCCTCTAGAAACAAGAGCATCATCAGCACGCTCAGTGCATCGGATCAGACCGCGGAGTTGTTGACAGAAGCTTGGCGAGGCTTGCCAGCTTTCCACAAGAAACGCTGGCTTTCTTCTCATACACCCCCTACCGTTTGTGTCTCCGCCAATTGTAGCACATCAGAGCGGCCATTGAGATAATGACCGTGAAGTCTCATGAGACACTTTGATGAAGTGTAACATTTTTTAAAGGATTTTTGTCTGTGCCAAAGTGATCGAGGCAGCTGACTAAAAATCACCCCATCAAAATCAAGGCTGATGAACAGCAGGCGGAGGCATGAGCCTCCCCAGAGAAGATGGGGGGATTTTGCAGCCAAAGTGTCTTTCTTTCCACGTCTATGTGTACCACAGATTCCTTTTTTAAAAAGTCATCTTTGTTTCAGATGAATATATGTCAGTGGCTGATGCTTCAGTCTCCAACATTTTTTTTAATTTTTTTTTTCTGTCAGCCCCAAGAAGATACAGGGAATGATTCCTTTCTGACAGCTCCCTACTAACGGCTTAAAAAATAACATTGTGCTTAATGTGATCTTGGTTGGAAAAAAGCACGCTGGGCATTTCAGTGCAATGCAGGGGCTTTCAGTCAGAGGTTGACCCAGTCCTAATGTTCAGGTACATTTAGATTTCTCTAGTTGAGCTGGAATTAAGAGCAGGATACACAAAAGTGGTTCCGAACCCGTAAGAATAAAATGAAGCTGGTAACAATGTATACAAAGATTGCTGGCTTCTTTGGGAGAGAAATCACGTGTTTAATTTATTGCCTGGTCTGTCACGACTACCAGTTGTTGAACACCTGCCGTATTCACACGGAGTCTGCGATCTTCACAACGCCCCCACTTTACCACCTCCATTTTAGGTGAGAAAGCCAAGGCCCACGTGAGGAACCTGAGGCCTGGAGATGTTAAGTAACTTGGCCAAAGCCAAAGAGCTGGGAAGTGGGGAAGGCATGGTCTGACCCGTGTGCTTGCTCACAAGATGTGTTCTCTTCCCATCTGTGATTCACTGCTTCCATTGTACGCCTGATACAGCTCATTAAATGGTGCTCAGTGGGAGAAGAGGAAACAATTTGTGGTTGAATTGGTAAAGGCAATGAATAAAATGGATTTACAGTTTGCCATTCTCACCTCTCAGCTTGTCAAGTAGACATTAGCTGCATGGCATCCTTTCATACCAGTCAGCAAATGCATGCTCTGAAACCAGGTTTGAGCGTGAGAGAAGCTGCAGTGAGGTTTTGGGTAACCTCAGTCCATCTGCACTTTACCTTCTTATTCAAGGTTGAAGCTCGGGACAGGTCCTGCCCTTGGGAGGAAGTGTGGGCGGTGAGCTCGAGGACTTCTCAGAATGTCACAATTGAAGAGACAGACACCTGTGCTTCTGCAAATCGACGAAGAAACCACAAGTGGAAAAAGGGGGTTACAGTTCAGTTGCCTTTTGACTTTTTGGTTCTGCTTGTGGAGCAAGAATCTGTGTCAGAGTGGGATGGAGGGATAAATTGGAGGAAGAGTGACAGGAAGTCAGGGAGCGGAGAGTAATGACACAGATGCTTGTATTTGCATGTGCAAGTGACATTCCCCTGGGCTCCTTTTAAATGTTTTCATCCTGTTTCCCTAAGTACAGCCAAATAAAAGGTGACAAAAGCTCAGAAAACAGAACAAAGGCACCAACCTAATTTTGTGCACACATTGCAAGGAATAAACTACAGGGTCTCACTACCCTGTTGCCAAAGAGAGCAGGTTTCAGGAGTCAAGATGGATGCTTCCCGGTTTACACTTGGAGTTTACTAATTATTTAGGCTTTGAAAAGAAACAGCATCCTAGATCCAAGCGTTGCAGAGAAGTTTAGGCATCCAACTTCGTACACTTGAGGCTTCGTGAAAGAAAAAGGACAAGGGAGGCTAACGGACGGTTGGCAGAGGTGCGGGGAAGGCTTCTCATGACGTGGAAGCCAGGCAGGAACTACATATATCCTTCTGCACAAGGAAACTTGTGTAATGGACCCAGAGGCGTTCTGAGAGGTCTTTCAACCTCCCTTCCATACCAAAGCATGGGCATGTGCATTTTATAGAGGGTGAGTATTCTATTGGGAGAGTCGATCTCAAACTCCTTATTAGCTCATTTCAAATAGAAAGCACTCAGACTTGAAAGGAAAGGACTCTAGTATATTACTTTCAGGAGCCCTTGAGTGAGGGAGCCACAAAAAATCCATCAGATTTTAAAGAAAACTCTCTCTATCTCAGCCCCTACCCTCACTTTCCTCATTTGTAAAACGATGGCTTTAGATTCTCTGAATCCCTCCCAGCATTAAAAGTGGATAGTGTTGGCATTCATTAAATACCGACTAATGCCTTTCATTTCCACTGATTCTAAGAGGATCTTGAAACTAATTGAATCAGTCCAAATTGACAAATAAAAAGATCTATTTGTCACTTTTCCAAATATGCTCTGCTTCTGAGCCTTTGCTCAGCATTTCTCAAATTGTGGTCCCTGGACCAAGGGTATCAGCTGGGCCTGACGTGAAAATGAATCAGCCCGCCCCTGCCCGAACCACTTACTGAATAGAAATTCTGGAAGTGGGCCCCTACCGTCTGCATTTAAACTGCCCTCCAGGTGATTTTGGTGCTTGTTCAAATCCCAGACTACTTGCTCAAGCTGTCCTGGCTGCCTGGGATGCCTTTCTTGAGGTCTATTTGAGACTTAGTTCAAATTTTGCTTTCTTCAAGAAGGCTTTCCAGCATCTCCTGAATGAAATTAAGTTCTCCTTTTCCTACCATCTCACAGCATTTCCCTTCTACCGTCGTTGAAGAACTTATTAGACCTTCCTGCAATGCCGTGTCTGTATGTGCTAATCTTTGCCCAAGATATGGAGTCTAACAGGGTGTGGGAGGCAGCCTCTAAAATGACCCCTAATGATCCCCATCTGTTGGTAGTCGTGACTTGTATATTCCCCTCCTTTTGAGTGTTGACTTATCTCTGGGTTGACTTATTTCTGTGGCGGAAATGATGGGGTGCCAATGCCAAGATAAGGTTATAAAAAGACTGACATCCATCTTGGTCATGTTCTCTTCCTTGTCCTTCCTCCCTCCCTTTCTCGTCCTCTTGCTTTTCTTCCTCCTTCTCTCTGTCTCTCTCTCTCATCTTTCTCCCTCCTTTCCCCTCCCCCCACCAGACCAGCCACCATGTAAACAAGCCCAGGCTATCCTGCTAGGGAGGCCCTAGAGGGTGAAAGGCACATGGAGAAGGTTGGAAGTAGCCTTGCGGAAAGGCACCTATTAGTGAGCATGCAAGTGGATCCTCCCCTGAGGATCCTTGAACCTTGAAGCGACTGCAGCCCCTGCCTACACTTTGATGGGCAGCCTTGTGAGTGACCTTGAGCTAGGCCCACCAAGTTAAGCTGCTTCTCCGTTTCTGAGCCACAGAAAGTATAAGATGATAAACGGTTATTGTTTAAGTTGTTAAGTATTAGACTGATTTGCTATGCAGAAATAGATAAACTAAATACATAGGACCAGCATGCTTTTCGGGTCTCCAAAGCACATAATAGGGTGCTGTACTCATAAGAGAAGTTTATTGTATGATTGTTGGAATCAGAGGAATGTTGCTTTGAGAGATTTTCAAGAGTGGTCAATTTCTAGGTTTAAAAGGGATGAATTCACTGCAAGTCCCAAGGAACATATGTTGAATAAGTTATAGGAAAAGAATAAAGAAAGTGAGGGTTAGGGGAACCTGGAATAAAAGGAAGAAGGGGGAGACATGTGGTAAGTTGGAGGGAAACTCACATAGGCTTTTGGACTAAGTTTTCCTGCAGTTGTGGTTTTCAAACTTGAGGAAATAAGAGATTTTTAAAAAAACAATTTGAAGAAGATTGAGGCCGAACTACCCAAATAAATATCTGCAATATGATAGAGAAAGCCCAGAAGTGTGCAAATGTCAGCCAGAGGCCACCCTTTGAAGACCAGGGCAACACTGAAGAGTCCGAGTTTAGATTCAGCCAAGACAAGTATCCAAGTGACTCTGCGTCACATCTATTCATGTATTCTTTTCTCCCAACGACCTACCTTTGTCTCAACATCCTGACATTCTTGTGTTCTAATCATCAGCTCCCAAATTTGCCTTGAATCATCTTCTGAAAGGAAGAACAACAAATCATGTGGGATTTGAGAGCAGCTAGCTGGAATTCGGTCTTCCTTCTTGTGTGCACAGTGTCCTCCTCTTGCCCCGTGCAGTGCACTTCTGGTTTCTTTCCCCTTCCTGGCGCGCAGGAGGGCTGGCGGTGCCTGAGAGAGGAAAGGGGGTGGTGAAGGCAGGCCAGCAGCCCACCTGCTCCCAGGACCGGAAGCGTGTCCACAGCGTGATGACATGTTTCTCATTCTAACCTTAAGGAGCAGGACCTGAAATTCTCCCTTGGTGCTCCTGAATGCTACTGCTGGCTCCTGCCACGCACACACACCCGCACGCACACGCACACACACGCAGGAGTGTAACACACTCCTCTGAAAACTTGAGTCGCAGAGAGAATGCAGCGAGCTGGAACCGGTGGTGGGACAGCCTTCTCCTGGTACTTCAGGACATAATGGAGACTGACCAAAGAGATTACTGACTGGGTGAAGAATGGAGACTTTAATTTCAAATGAGCTTGTCTGCACTTTGCTTGAGAAAAATCTTGGCTTGGATGACACCCAATATAATACGGTTTATTTGGTGTAAGTGCAAGTATTTTTCTTTTCCTTTTAATTTTCTCATTTCCTGAACACAGGACTTTCTTTCTGAGGAGTGTTTCATACCACTGTTGTTGTCATGTTTGGCTTCATTTTAAAGAGTAAAAAAAAAAAAAAAAAAAAAACTGTTTAAGAGAACGGCTCAATTAAGTTTTATATATTAGCTTGGCGACTGCTTGTGTTACTTAACTAAAGAAAAGCCAAGAAAAACTATATAATTCTGTGATTCAAGGCACAGCACTTCAGAATAAGTGTCGGACAAAATTGTTTCTCTTACCATCTGAGAGGTGGCCTCAGCCAGCTTTTGTGGGTTTGGAGGGATTTTGAAGTTGTCACTTTACAGAAACTGTGATCTTGTTGGGGAGATCCTCTGGACGCTATTCATTGCACTTTCTCTCTTGTTCCTTTCGCCACATGCCTGCCTCACCCTCCCAACCAATTTTCCCTCTGAGGTGGCTTTGGGGAGAGATGGCAGTCTCCTCTCGCTCCTGGAGAGAGAAATGTGAGAGGATGAGAGCCCTACATTGCTCAGTGAGTGGGATGAGTTAGTTGAGGAAATGGCTCACATGTGGCCAGTTTCTCTTGAATTCTGCAAGTTGTGCCACGTCCCAATGGACGTAAGTTCGATTAGATAACTCTTGTTCAGCAGATCTCACACTCCCCTTGTGGATTTACCTGAATCTACATTTTGAGAGAAGATAGAAAAACCACACTGGTCTCTGGTCCAAGTAGTTTCTAATGCATACATGTCAGATATTAGAAACAGTATCTTGGGGCATCGGGGTGGCTCAGTTGGTTGAGCGTTTGACTCTTGATTTCAGCTCAGGTCATGATCCCAGGATCGTGGGATTGAGCCACAGTTTAGGCTCCTCACTGAGTATGGAGCCTGCTTAAGATTCTCTCTCTCTCTCTCTGCCCCCTCCCCTGCTCTCTCTCTCTCTTTCTGTCTCTCTAAAATAAAAAATTAGGGGTGCCTGGGTGCTCAGTCAGTTAAGCGTCCGACTTAGGCTCAGGTCATGATGTCGTGGTTCCTGAATTCGAACCCCACATCGGGCTCTGTGCTGACAGCTCAGAGCCTGGAGCCTGCTTCGGATTCTGTGTCTCCCTCTCTCTTTCTGGCCCTCCCCCACTCATGTTCTGTCTCTGTCTTTCTCTCTCTCTCCCTCAAAAATAAACATTAAAAAAAAAAATAATAATATCTTGATCCCTCTTCCACACCAATGACGCATTGGTGTGTCAACTGGCTCAGATATCAAAGCTGGGCTACAACCAGCGCCCCCTTTGGCCACCCCAGCTCTGAGGGCTCATTCTAACCCCTCAGCTTGTCCTAACCTAACCCTGTCCAACTTCCATTCATTTGGTCTCAGAAACACTGAGGTGCGTCCTGCTCTTCCCCATCTGAAACGTCTTCCTGCTGAGGAAGACGCTGAGCGTAGGCAGAGGCCAAACAATGCTGGCGTGCAGCGATGGCATTCAAAGAACCGGTGCTACCCAGCCCCTGCCTCCTCCCTCTGTTTATCCTTTTGTCAACTTGGAAGACATTTGCCAGGGTAGAAAAGCCACACATTCCTGGTATAATTTATAGAGTACTGTTAAGAGATGGTATAAGTGGTTTATTTTTACGGAGGTTATTACTGGTCACAAAACTTCAAGTCAGCTATTTGCAAGGAACCCATATGAAGGAAGCCCCTGTTTGTGGCATCTACCCTCAAGAGCATCTGACAGAGGGCTTACTGTACTTTTGTGCCCAACCACATTTAATCCATTTATAAGACCCCTTTGTATGAGATGCCTTACCAGAGGAAATTAATGTAGGATATTGCAAACAGCTTTTAAGAATGTCTTTTCTGTAGAAGAACTGTGTGGTTCTGAGAGTGAAGTGGGCTTCCCCCACCCCCCACCCACATTGTTATGACTTGACATCTCCAATGTGGAATGTTTCCAGCTGGTTATGATAAGAAAAGCCTGGATTTTTCACTCTTGTGGAAACCACAGTGGAAGAAAGCTATTATATTATCTATTCACTTACTCTCCTCCTGTAAATATAAGTGCATTTAAGAAATGGTTCCAAGTTTGGGGAAGGGACGTGGCAGCACTTAAAAATCAGGCAATGAGAAATTGCAAGTTCAAGATGACAATGGCTAGTCATGTGGAAAACAGAAGATAAACATGTGCCTTACATGGAGGAAGATATTTTCTCACCCAGTAGTAAATTTTAGATTTTGGGTTTCTGGGAATGAAAACAAATTTTTAAAATTAAAAACTGACAGCAGATGCCAGTTTTTGGGTTTTTTGTTTCATAAGTAGGGCATCATGAAGAAAGCAACTACCGTCTTCAATTTCATCATCCCATAAAACAAAGGACAGACAGTGTGATAAAAAAAAAAAGTAAAGGGTGCCTGGGTGGCTCAGTTGGTTAAACATCTGACTTTGGCTCAGGGCATGATCTCACAGTTTGTGGGTTCGAGCACCGCATCGGGCTCTGTGCTGACGGCTCGGAACCTGGAGCCTGCTTGGGTTTCTGTGTCTCCCTCTCTCTCTGCCCCTCCGCTGGTCACGCTCTGTCTCTGTCTCTCTCTCTCTCAAAAATAAATAAACATATAAAAAGTAAGACATAATTTCATAAAGAATCATTCTTTAATAAACATGTCTCTGTGTAAGATGTCATTACAGTGGGCTTTTGGGGTTTTGTTTTTTCATTTCACTGCAGACCATGAACTTGTCCTTACTGTCTGGCCCCAGTTCAAGACCTGGTACAGGGAACCACTGCTCCAGGCATTATGGTGTGTCAGCAGGTCAGATGACCTGCGGTCAGGTCTATGCCTTGTCACGACTGGGTGTGTTGTCTTGGCAAGTTATTTCTCGAGTTTCATCTCTGCTTATATGCAGAGTGGATAGGGGTGGATACCACTCTTCATAAGGCTGTGGGAGGATTACATGAGGTAAGGGAAAGGAATTGGTGCATAACGAGTGTAGAGGACTTGGTGGGTCTTATCAGAGGACTGACATTCTCTTCTGGACCATTCCAAGGACAGACTATAGACTTAAGGCAGATATGTCAAAAAGGTTGACATTAGGGGCGCCTGGGTAGCTCAGTTGGTTGAGCGTCTGACTTCACCTCAGGTCACGATCTCATGGCTTCACCTCAGGTCACGATCTCAGGGTTCCAGCCCCGTATCGGGCTCTGTGCTGACAGCTCAGAGCCTGGAGCCTGCTTCGGATTCTGTGTCTCCCTCTCTTTCTGCCTTCCCCCACTCACACTCTGTCTCTCTATGTCAACAACAACAACAAAAAAATTAAAATATAAAACGTTAGAAAGTTAGAGAGGCATGTTTTTTGTTTTCTTTTTCTTTGCTAAAGTCACCTGGATTTTATCATTTGTATTTATAAGTAAACAATTTAATAGATAAAAAATATAAATTTAGAAGAAAATAAGCAGTATCTCAGGCAAATACAGGTGGAGTATAGAAAATGGAGTTCATAGGGGCACCTGGGTGGCTGAGTCCGTTGAGTGTCTGACTTGGGCTTGGGTCATGATCTCACGGCTAGTGAGTTTGAGCCCCACATTGGGTTCTGTGCTGACAGCTCAGAGCCTGGAGCCTGCTTCAGATTCTGTGTCTCTCTCTCTTTCTGCCCCTCCCCGCTTGCGCGCGCGCTCTCTCTCTGTCTCTAAAAATAAATATTAAATTAAAAAAAATTTTAACAAAATTTAAAGAAAATGGAGTTCATAGAGGCAAAGCTTATTGCTTTTCAAGCAGAGACATGTAAAGTCTGGGTAACAGACACAGTCTGGTCTCCAATAGCTACTTTTGTGGTCAGCTAGAGAGCACTCAGTGTCCCCCTCAATCCTCAGGTGCAAGAGTCCTCTCCACACTTAATTTTCTTTCTCTTGTTCTAATTTTGCCACCCTTAATCAACTTCTGGTTAATAACTTGCTTTACCCAATGCTTTTGCTCAGAACCTTATTCTCCCCTGGCCTCCATCCTTTCTACCTGACGGACTCCTATTCATCCTTCAAGATGTCCTCTTTTAAAAAGATTCCTTTGTCTGACATTTCCATGGTTCTTTCAGTGAAAACTGAGTTGTATTTTTTTTTTTTAATCTATCTTTTTGAGTGAAATTGTGAGCTCTCGAAAAGCAGGGATGGTATTACTGGGAAGAGTTACCTTCTTTCCCAGGTGCAAAGTAAGCACTTAATAAAAGCTTATGGACTGAATATTGCCATAAGTACCCTGGATGAATGAAGGTCAGTTGGTAGGTGAACAAGTGCGAGGCAGTGTGTTGTAGCAGAGTAATGTGGATGAGCCATTTCTGGGGGGTGGGTGGGGGGATGGTCACGTATTTTAAAACTGTTGTGAAAGGGGTTACTGAACACCAACCAAGCAATCAAAACAACAGCAGGTGCCATTTTTTGAGAGCGTACTATGTGTTGACACTCTTCAAAGTGGTTTACCTGCGTCAACTTCTCAAATGCTCACAGTAAGCCCATCAGGTGGCTATCAGATGAGGAAACTGAGGTTTGGAAGGGTTATGAAATCTCACAGATCACACGATGCTGAGGAATGGAGCTGGAACTTGAACTCAAGTCTGATTCCAACGCTTAGGTGCCTGTTCATGCCACCACAATGCCAAGTAATGTGTGTCACCCTGAATGGTACCCTCAGAGCAGTGGAGAACACCATGGCAGGATTTGAAGTCTCCTAGGCATGTTTTTGTGAAAGCATTATACTTCAAAGGAACATGTCTTTAGAAATACATGCAACTATTATAGCTGCAGAGATTCTGAAAGTTTGCTGATGGATAAGATTATACATTTGGGTACTTGAGAAGACTTTTATGGGGATGGAATTAATTTTGCAGCAGGCAAAAACTGATTTAAAAAAAAAAAACCCAACTTACAGGTACAAATGTGAGGCATGCAAAGAGAGATTGTGGTAGATTCAACCTAAAACAGCTCCAATTAATTTATATGTGAAGAACTCAAACCGTCTATGACTTACATTGTGGCAAAGAACCTGATGCCTAACTGCAGAAACACTCAGTTGCCAGCATTCTCCCATAAGTGAAATACAGAAAATGGGCTGAGTTTCAGTCTTTTCCATTAAAGATCTAGTTATCTTTCTTT